CCCTACAGAAACCTTAACCCTAACAAATTAAACAAAACTATGGTTCGATTTAGCTCATCTATAGTTAAATCTAGCTCGTATATGTAGTGTTCGATTAGTTGGCGACTGATTTTATACTCACGTCCCACTTCTCTTTCGAAAGGAACTAAACTCTAAGAGTAAAGAGTCTTAACCCCAAAAATACATTAACCCTAACAAGCTACACATATTTTTAATAAATCAAACAATGAGAACATTAATATTTATGTTGTATCTTATTATTCATTATAATATATTCATCTGAGTTTAAGACTTTTTAATGTAAGGAATTTGTTCTCTTATTAAATTTGACTTTTGAATATTTGGTGTCGTGATGCGTGATTCGTAAGCTTTTATACACAATTTTCTTCAATAAAAATTACTACATAGAAATATACGCAATATTGTTAAATAAATTTAACTACATTTTAAACAGCGAAATTTTTTTAAAATCAATTATGAACTCAATAAAGTTGCAGATTGATTATGAAGAGAAACAATGTCTCCTTCAGTTTCTTTTCAATCTTTTAATTACTTTGTCCCTCGGTTCCATGTATCTTTCATCAATGAGGATTACAATTCTACTTTCTCCAGTTAATGAAAATGCAAGACATTTAAAAAAAATGAATTATATATATAATAACAAAAAACCCCCATAAATATCCAATGTAAACATCAAAAATCAAAAGAATAGCTTAATCCGAACGAAAATTAAAAAAAAATAACACGTACAATAACTTTAAAAAGAAAAAAAACCAAAAATACAACTACTATCCTGAAATCTGACCCAAAATAACATTAGCACCGTCATCTTCGCTTGCACGAATAACTTCATCAACAATTTCAGTCAAAGATGCCTATTATAAACACACCAAACAAACATTTCTTAAGGAAACAAATACAAAAATATGTAAAATACAAAAATTTAATTAAATAAAACCTATATATTCATACCTGTGAAAAAGTTTGTGAAGTAAATGTCTCATTGAGATCATTATCACAAGAAAATTTCTCCATAGTATACGATTTTTTAAAACCAGTATATGATTTCTCTACAGTATACGATTTCTTAAAACTTTTAAAAGCATATCTTTCATCACCAAATCCTCCAAAGAACCAGGCAAAATAGTAGGATCCTTGATAACAATACATGATTTTTAGTTAAGAAAAATTAAATCAATAAAACCACAAGGAGATGACTGAACATGTCCGGTCTTGATTTTTAATACCTTCTATCCAAAAACATTTTGAGTGAAAGCAATTCTTTAGATTCTACTCTGTGCTTCGAGCATTACCAATTATGTAGTGATATGGTAAGTGTATTTGGTTATCTAAACATGAGATAAATTGGAGGTCAAAATCAGTGATGAATGGATTGTGTGATCCGACTATTAGTAGATTTTATGTCACCATTGTATCAGAAGATGATGATTATATGTAATTTAGATTTGAAAGTATTTTGGCCGTGAACATGTCTCTGCATAATCCGTGTATTTATAATGTTTATAAAATTAATTCGTGCAAAATCTACTACAATTATGTAACAAAAAAGAAAAAATAATGAAAAA